ACAGATACCCCTGTCGAAGTGTCGCGAAGTCTAGGATTTCGCCGTTACTGCTGATAGACCCCTGACCCGCGACAGTATGTAATTATCTGATATACAGTATTTAATTATAATTTCAAATATCTTAAACATTTCTATTGTTTTCAAATATTTAATATATACTAAAAAATTAAGTTCAATCAAATTAAAAATATTACATTTGTGTTTTTTTTTTTATTAATATCAAGTTCACAGTTAAATTTAGCAAATTTTTTTATTTATTAAATAAATATATAACAACTATTTGATTTATTGTTATACTATTTCAATATTACAAGATTTCTTTTTGAACATTTATAATTTGCAAAAAAAAATAAATTTTTTATAACAATAATATTTATTTTAAAAAGCTTAAAAGAATTTTGTTATTTTTTGTTAAGAAACAAAATTTATAAACCAATTTAATTTATTGTTTTTTATAAAAAACTTTTTTGTTCACACTTAATTACCGATCTCACCTATGTAGTTATTCGATAATTATTTGGAAGAAAATAATGTCTTAATTTGTCACAAAGATCATATTTGCTTATTTGTATTATAAGAAAAGGAACAGACGAAAAATAAATGAAAGGTCGACATTACTCTTAATCTTTTATTGATAGAATTATATAAACAGAACTCACGTAAATATACATAGTAATAACCTTGTTAATAGAAATTTTACGTCGAGTAATGATTAAAATTGCAGTAAGAGAATCAAATTTCTGCAAAAAATCAGAAATTTTTTTATTGCCTTATATTTTTCACATTAATAAAAATTTTTACGTAGTAATATTTTGCTCCTACTATTTCCGTTTTTTGCAGCTTTTAAAAGCCAATGAAATGCTTGTTCTCTATTTTCTTTGGTCCCTATTCCAGCTAGATAACAATATCCGACTTCACATTGATCATTTGTACTTCCTCCTTCTGCTGATTTCAAATAATGTTGAAATAACGTTTCATTATCAATTGTTGTTCCGACATCAGACCAATTATAATTTATAACACTATATAGTCCGTATTTATTTCCTCCATCAGCCGACTTTGAATACCACCAAAATGCTTTTCTTTCATCTTTTACAATTCCAATTCCGTGTTCATAACAATAGCCACTTTTGTACTGTCCCAAGCTATTTCCACTTTCAGCGGATTTTAGATACCACAAAAATGCTTTCTTCTCATTTTTTATAGTACCGATACCATTTTGGTAGCAACCTCCGAGATTATATTGTCCCGAGCTATTTCCTCCATCCGCAGATTTTAAATACCACAAAAATGCCTTTTGTTCATCTTTTATAGTTCCTATTCCATTTCGATAACAATATCCGACATTTGATTGCCCGTTTGTATTTTCTGACTCTGCCGACTTTAAATACCAGTAAAATGATTTTTTATCATCTTTCTCAACACCAATTGCGTTTTGATAACAAATTCCAAGGTTATTTTGCCCATAACTATTTCCGCCTTCAGCAGAACGTAAGTACAATTTGAATGCTTTCGCCTCATCTTTGGTAACTCCTATTCCGTTCCTATAAAGATACCCCAAATTACATTGCCCGTTGCTGTTTCCACCTTCGGCGGATTTTGTGTACAGGTGGAGCGCTTTCTCCATATCTTTTTCGATTCCAATTCCATGATGATAGCAATATCCAATATTGCATTGCCCATCACTGTCTCCGGCTTTTGCAGATTTAAGGTACCACTGGTACGCATTTATTGCGTTTTTAAGGTCTCCTGTTAGATTTCTGTAGTAGTCACCAACTTTATTCATAGACCAATTATTTCCGCCTTTTGCTGACTTTAAATACCATAAAAATGCTTGTTTCATATCTTTTTCTGTTCCAATACCATTTTCATAACAATAACCGAGGCTAATGTAAGCTTCAATATGCCCACCTTCTGCTGATTTTTGATAGTACTTAAATGATTTTTTCGCATCTTTTTCTACCCATATTCCATAATAATAACAATGTGCCAGAATATTCTGAGCTATGGAATTGATAGGATTATTTAAACCCCATTTTATTATATCTGCAGAATTTGCATTTCTCATTATGAAAAACCTATCTATTTTATCGAAGATCATCGTGATATATTTTCCTCTTTTTCTTTCCTCATCATATAAATTGCATAATTCTTCGAAAAAAATTCTTTGTGCTGACATTATGTAATACGTTCTTTTAATGAGGCGTTTTGATGTATATTTGGATATGCAGTACTTAAGATTTCCTCCACTTCTAACAAAGAAGAATATGTTAAAGTTAGATCATGGAAGATTATTTGCTATCACAAATAATAGTAAACACGAGTTTCACAAATTTTGTAAATGAAATGTGTTAATAAGGAAACAACAGAAAAACGGAATGACACGTGTAATCCGAAAATAATTTCATGCCAATTTATTGTATTTTATCAAGAATTAAATACAGTATAATTTCATGCACGCAATAATCAAACCGTTTATACCAAATTGCATCATAATAAATTTTCACATTATTACTCGGTATGCACATGCTTAGATGCACAGTAATAAGTATTGTTAAATATATCAATTATATTTTAGTTACTTTTGCACAAGATAAAATCGCAAAGCTTACCGAACAAAGCTATTTGCTTTTCAAGTTCAAATTTGTAGATAGATTTTATTATGCAATCTGCCCAGGATGTTGATATCCAATAGCTGATCATTGTCCGAAGCGATGAGGAGGACTTAACGTTTATGCTCTGTAATTACTTTACATCTTGTCCCGGTCGTCAATCATGTGATTTCATTTTGCTCTGTAATTACTTTACATCTTGTCCCGGTCGTCAATCATGTGATTTCATTTTAGGCTAATAGACTATTGATAGTTTGTAGTAAAACACGTAATATGTATTTGTTGTTATAACTTATCATTGTTTAATGTCGAAAACAGTCATTTGATGATAAATGTATGATTTTTATGCATTACAAATAAATCTTATTATAATACAATAAAAATATATAAATTATGTATACATGTAACGGATACAATGTTATTATTTTTCTTTACCATTATATATGCAAATAAATATCTATGTGTATAATGGATGTAAAACAGTCATTATTTTTTTAAATATGTTTCGTGATGAGATTGGGAAGCGGGAGTGACCTTATATTTACCTATTTCACTCATCCATTTTAAACATTCTTCTTGATGCTTGAGCATTATAGAAGATTTAATAAACGCGTAACTGTTTTATAAAGTCAATAAAAAAATGTCCGCATACCTTATGATAAATGCTTTTCCGTTTCCGTTATTTAAACTATACATATTTACGTCATGTCAATGTTATCATCCTTCAAGCCTGTATTAATGCAAAATTGTTTGGACAAAATTCATATATACTTTATCAATGAAGCGAAAACGTCAAGAACGAAAAACCTCAGAAGAACGTGATATTTACCTCGGAAACAGACGTAAGAGGGATCATCTGCGCCGGGAACGGGAGACTTCAAAAGAACGTGATGATCACCGAAAAAAGGATAGGGAAAGAAAACAAAGACTTCGAGAACGGGAGACTTCTAATGATCACAATTCTCGACTTAAAAAAAACCGTAAGAGACACTATCAGCTTCGTGAGCGAGAGACCTCTGTAGAACGCAACATTCATCGAGAAAAAAACAAAGAAGCATATCAGCGTCGAAAACATGCACGAACTAATCAAGATCAAAGGTTTCAAGCAGAACCTTATTCTAGAGATGTTCCAGAGCTTACACAGTATGATAAACAGCTTTTAACGGAATTTCGCAATTGTATGGCAAAGATCAAGAATTCTCATTGTCCCACATGTAACGAGTGCTTCCCATCCATCAATCTTGTTAAGGATGAATGCCGACGATGCCATATGGAAAAGAATTTACCAAAGAAATTTTCCGCAGAAAACAATATGGATCCAGGGGATGTTCCTGCCGAACTCCAGGGCCTGACAGAAATTGAAGGAATGTTAATTGCGCAAGTGTTTCCCATTGTATCAGTGTATAACCTTCGTGGTGGACAATATGGATATCGCGGAAATATCATTAATTTTTCTCAGGATGTCACAGAGTTTGCAACTCGACTTCCCCATCATCCATCATCCTTGGAGGTTATTATAGTACGTCAACAGTCTGTAAGCGGAAAATTCAAAGATTTCAATATTCGCCATGAAAAGATAATCAATGCGTTAAAATGGTTAAAAAAAATAATTCTTACTATACTGATATCATCATTGACAGTGATGTGATTCAATTATTACCAGAGAATGGTTCTATTGATGATACCCTTCCACAGCTTCCAAATGATCAACCTGTTAATGAAGAAGAACATCAATGTAACGGACATTTAGACGAAGTTGAACAACATGATGAGATAACCCAAACTTTTATCCCTAGCTTTCCCTCTAGTCGTCGTGAAGATCTCGCCATTGGAGATATCCTTGATGGCATGCAAGGTGTTCATCAGCAGGATGCAAGTGTGCCTGTTATGTGGCCAACTATTAGCAATAATCCTATTGATGAGTTTCATACAGCAGGATACATCGCGCGTGCCTTCCCAACCTTATATCCAACTGGTCATGCTGATTTACGTGCTGAACGTGTTAGAGACATCAAGCCTGTTGAATACTTTCAGCATCTGCTCAAATATAAAGACAGGAGATTTGCACAACACCCTCGCTGGAGGTATTTTTCATTAAATTCTCAAATGCGATGGCGGGCATTACAGGAGGGAAGAGTTTTCGTTAAACAGAATTTCAATGACAGACAACTTACTGTGGCTGACGTTCAGGAGATGGTTAAAACTGATAGTCATTTGGCTGACCGAGTGGTCTGATTTGGTGAGGGTTTACGGGGGAGTCGACAGTTTTGGATGAGGCGGCGCTCTGAGCTATCAGACATGATTAAGCAGCTGGGGACACAAGGAATGGTTTTTTTTACATTTAGCGCTGCTGATTTACATTGGCCAGAACTTCATGATCTCATGCCATACGGAAATGATTTGGATCATGAAACAGACCATGCATCCACCAGGCTTCAAGATCTTATTGACAATCCTCATATTGCAGCTTGGTTTTTTAATAAACATTTCGAGACTTTTCTTCACAAAGTATTATGTCCACGATGGGATTTGATTGATTACTGGTATCGATATGAATGGCAACATCATGGAAGTGTCCATGTGCATGGGATCGGCAAGAAACGTGATTCACCGAATATTGAATGGGAAAGAATGAAAAATGATGAAGATACAATGCGTAACGCTGTACAATACCTTGACAATTTAGTTACTACAATTCATTCTAAACTTGATGCACCTATTCCTGATCGTCATCCATGTCAAAGGCGCCAAAATGAATTACATGACGACTTGCTGGATTATATCGAGTTGATTAATAAGCTATAGCGACATACAAGATGTAGTCCTAATCACTGTCTTCGTATTGATAGCAAGACGAACAAGCAAGTCTGTAGATTCGGATACTCTAAAGAAATTGTTAATCATACTTTTGTGCGTGATGATGGTTATGGGCAACCGGAACTCATTACAGCAAGAAACGATCCCTATATTAATCCGCATAATCGACTTCAGCTCCAAGGTTGGCGAGCAAATGTTGACCTTAAACCTGTGCTTAGCATTCATGCAGCTTTACAGTACATCTGTAAATATGCAAGTAAAGCTAAACCATGATCTGTGCCATTTTCAGATACACTAAATCAAATACTTCGCAATAGCAATCCTGATGATCCATCACTTACTTCTATTCAACGTTTATTACTTCATACTGTCGCCGAACGTGATATATCGGCTCAAGAGACTTGTCATCTTCTTCTCAGTATTTCACTCTATCATTCAAGTCGCCAGTTTATAAGTCTAAACCTTAATAATGAAGCACCTCGATATCTTCGTGGTATTCATGGACAAGGAAATGAAGAGTCGTCTGGACGAACAGTTCGTTCACCTTTACAGTTATATTGGGATCGACCTACCGAATTTGATAATTTATCCCTTTTTCAGCTTCACTTAGGGTACACTTTTGTTAATGGTCATTGGAAAAAATGTAAAGAACGTGAAAACATTATACAGATTTGGCCACGTCCATCACCATTGAAAAACGGCCCTGAATGGGAAACATTTTGTCGTGTAAAAGTTCTCCTTCACGTTTGCCATCAGAGCCTTCAGCAATTAACAAAAGATGACACCATTTCTTGGATAGATCTTTATGCTCTTCATCTTGCTGAGATTGAAGCTGATCCTACCGATTTACTTGGTCCTGCGCTAGACAACCTGCATATTAATGAAGACTTAATTAGTGATAATGAAGATCAATTTGACGAACAACAAGATAAAATTCAGCCTGATTGGATGTTCTTATCAGAAACGGGTCCAAATACAATTTCTTACAATTCATCTGACTTAGGATTACGCGATATTGATCAGAATTACGATTGGGCTGCTAATACTAGAAGATATTCTAACTTTAGAGATGCTGCCAGTTTTATACAGCGTGCATCTGCTACAGACCAAAGTACCGAAAATTTGATTCCTGAAGCTATCAATGAGTTAACACTAAATGAGAAGCAAAAATTAATTTTTGAATATATTAGTTCTCACTATGTAGCTACATGCGTGGGTCAGGATGTTAAGCCATTAAGAATAATTATCATGGGTACTGCGGGAACTGGAAAGTCATATTTAATTAAAGCAATTTGTGACAAACTTTACAGGATGACAAAAGACTATTCTTCTAATGCTAAATCTCCTGTGCTCATGCTTGCTCCAACGGGGGTTGCTGCATTCAATATTCATGGCACTACTATCCACTCTGCATTTTCTATTCCAACATGTAACACAGGTCTCGACATAAGTGGTGAGCAGTTAAAGCAGTTACAATAGAGGCTACAAAGTATAAGTTACTTTATTCTTGACGAAATGAGTATGATTGGACGTCGAATGCTAGCCATAATTGATACACGACTACGTCAGGCTTTTCCAGAATGTCAAAATATGTTTTTTGGTAGTCGATCGATTATTCTGGTTGGAGACTTTGGCCAACTTCCACCAGTATATGATCTTCCTATGTATACTCAAACCAACCACCAGTGTGATTCATTATCGAATGACGGTCGTATGGTATATTTGCAATTTCGAAAAGTATATAGACTTGATGTTATTCAGCGCCAATCGGAAAGTTCGGATGATCAATGCCATTTTAGAGACATTCTTCTAAGACTGCGCGATGGTGAATCGACACGGGCTGACTGGGAAGTACTTATAAAACGAGTTGCTGATAAATTACTTGAAATAGAATGCAAGCAATTTTCGGATGCCACATGTATCTTACCAAAGTGGACGGATGTCAATGAATTTAATTTTAATAAACTCAGATCACTATGTCAACCTATTGCTAAGATCCGTGCTGTGCACACTGGTGGACAAGAAGCCTTTAAGGCTGATTCAAATGTGGCGCGAGGACTTGAAGCTCAGATTTTACTAGCCAAAGGCGCGCGAGTTATGCTCACCGCAAACCTATGGACAGCTGTCGGATTAGTAAATGGTGCAATAGGAACCGTTATGGACATTCTCTATGAACAAGATCATGGACCTCCCTTTCTTCCTATTGCTGTTTTAGTTAAATTCGACAACTATAATGGCCCTGTCTTTGAGACATCAGCAAATATTAATGCCATACCAATAGTACACATTCGGCGTACATGGGAAGGTAAATTTGGATTATGTTCACGTCTTCAAATTCCCGTTTGTCTTGCGTGGGCTATCACAATACACAAGAGTCAAGGACTTACCTTGCAAAAAGCCAAGATAGATCTTGGCACAAAGGAATTTAATGCTGGTCTCTCGTTTGTAGCAGTATCTCAGGTTAGAGAGCTTCGTGACCTCATTTTTCAACCATTTTCTTTCGAGAGACTTCAGCGTATCAAGAATTGCACAAGATTGCGGGAGAGACTACAGGAGGAAGAACGATTGCTTAATATATCTATACAATAACGATAATGTAATGATTACATCAAAATTACTATAATAAATTATTTATCAGACTATAATTATTACATAATATATGAAAACATATATGCGCGTTATTTTAAATTCTGTCCCGAATTAAGCTTAATTCAGACAAAAATTTGAAATACACTTTTTGTGCTTATTATTATATAATATTAAATAAAAATATAAATTAAATAAAATAATTTCTCCTACCCTATTACCAAACACAGCAAAGAACTTGAAATTTTTGCAATACAAACTTAAAATTGCCAACCATTTTGCATCTTCCAAAATCAACAAGTATTCAAATACAACATCACAACATACACAATTCAACTAGCCAAAAAATATAATATTACATTCTGCTCTGAAACCAATTGTCAACACAAACTTCCAGGAGGAAGCATACCTCTCCACTAACTCTTATCATACCACTCAAACTGGCCAATCTTCGCAAAACAACTCTCAAAAAATCAACTCTACTATATTAAACAACTACTTGAATTCAACAATAACAATCTCACAAACTGGCAACATATCTCAGCCAGGCTCGGATTCAATACCTATGGCAAAATACTTCTCTGATACAAACTTCTATCACAACAAAGCTTTCAACAAATTGGCTCAACTTCAATCAAATCAAACAAAAAAAGAAAATAGTTAGCATCTCTTGTCAACAACAAAATAATTATAGGAAAAAAACAAAAAACAAATACAAA